TAAACTCCTAACTTGAACTTTCAACCAACACAGAGCATAGCAGAAGCTTGTGAAATCCTCTTTCTTATAGCCACTACGTAATTTCTTTCTTTTTTCAATATTGAAGAGGGTTTTGTAGTAATAGTTTAAGAAGAAAGATTCAGTACGTTTAGGGTTAAAAAAAAGTCTAACAGGTAGATACATCTGTTCCTTTAAAAAAAACACGTTCTCCATTTTTGAGACATCATAAATATGTAAATGAGGGCTCTTTAATTACTGCCTAGGGCTATAAACTCGCATGCTAGAGGGGAGGGAAGGAGGAAGGCAAAGAATAATTCACTTAAATTTTTTTTTTTTCTTTTTAGGAGAGAGAGGTTGGGTCTTCACCTCAGAAAAGCTAGCGGAAGAATGGGGCTTTTTATTGCTGAATTATGAGAAAGTGCTGGAAACGCTTCTTTTTTTGTTTATCCTTTTGGATGGAGTTAGCATATAAAGCAGTAGCGTACGACCTTTCTGGCTAATGTGGGCACCAAACAGGGGATTTGTTACGAAGCACCGGGTGAAATTCCCGTCTCTCTCCCTCTCTGCCAGTACCCTTAATCCCGATCAGCAACATCCCCTGCTGCCTCTTGAGCTGCTCGCAGTGCCTGAATCTTAGCGTGGTTTCTAATGCGGATACACCAGCGGCTAGCAAGGGGCCCTGCGAAGTCATTTTCACTTGTGACCCGATAAGCGCTCAGCACTTAACCGAATAGAAGTCTGCTCTTATTTGGCCCCGCCGGCCTTTTTGTATCTTAAGCACCATCATTTTCGAGTAAGGTGATCTTGCCGCTCCTTTTAAAACAGCGTGAGATCGACAGGAAGGGCAGTTTTTTAAATTTCATGAGGTGGATGTGCACGTGGGGAACCAGACCAGTGTACAGCAGTACCTGTGTAGTGGGTATAGTTACTGGAAATCTAATTCTGCTGGTGTTTTTTCCAGGCGAAGCGGTCTGGTGTCAAAATGGTTATTCTGCCTTGGTAAAACTTCAGATCTATATGATGATTTTCACTTTCCACGTTTAATCTTTTAATTCTTGCTGAGGCCTATGAAAGAATAATTTCCGGATAATAATGGTTTCCCACTAATGAGCTCCGCATTTTTTATAGCAGAAATGAGTTAGAGCCAGTGTGCTCACTGAAAAAATTATTCTATTTGATGCTCTTATGATGTATCTGAGAGAAAGGTAAAAATGAATCTTGCGGGGGTGAGGCAGGATATTTCAAGTACAAAGTGTTAATGTCATTGTATGCGGTGAGGCTTCATATGTACAGTTTTGGCTGTTTGGTTCATGCGACAAATGTTTACTGCCCAGGGGAGTTAGTGGACTTGAGGGGCTTCCCTTGGCCAGAAGAGAATAAATGAGCTTGGGCTGGTGAAAGTAGCACACCGGCGGCCGTACAGGGCTGGTGGGTGTCCGTCCATGCAGTGAGGGGGAAGAGGTTGGAGGGAGCCTGGCAGGGCAAAGGCTGTTTTAGCCGGAGAGCACTAGTGATGTGAGAACAAGTGGCGCTGAGGATGGAAGTGAAAGTAATTCTAGCTACTAGGGGAAGGGTGAGAGTCAGAGAGCGCTTTTCAATGCCACTGGGTGTTAAAAGCAGAACTATTTTTGAGACTGAATTTGATGAGTTTACAACATAAATTGTATGGCATGTCTGTGTAGGAGAGCAGGGGACTGTACTCCCGGTCCTGCCTCCGAGAGCCCCATTGGTCTCCTGATCAGTCATGCAAGTTAGTTCTGTGTGCTCTGCCCTCTGCTTTTCCAAACGGGCCTGAAGAAGCTACGCTGTGTGGGAGAAATGACAATTTGGACAAGTACAATAGTAAGCTGTGGTTCAGGTAGCTGATGGCAACCTTTGATTTTGTTTATGGTTAACTGGAAGGCAGAGAATTGGGGTGGTGTTATATGTACAGTTCATAAATCAGCATGCAAGCCAGCTTGTTGGCACGAGTGACAGTACATGAATGCAAGTCATTGTCATTGTCTCTAAAATCTCTCTGCAGTCTCCCAGCCCTGAAGTATGTTGGCAGTAGCACCAGAGGCAGCTTCTGATGCCACTAGCCGTGAGTCTGAGCGCTGGTGTATCTGGCTTTACTTGAGAATTGTGTTTTCTGGGAGTATAGAGTGTGTCTGTGTATCTGTTGCTTGGGATAGATACTCTTTTCAACTTGGCTCCACTCTATGTGGCTGTATGGCACTGAGGAGGTTAAATAGGTAATGCCAAAATAGACAAAAGTTGTGTTACAAAGTCAACCAGAAATACGGTGTTTTTGCTTCCTGGATCATTAAGCAAAAATGCCCTGACTTGTTAAAAAAAAAAAAAAAAGCCTCAGTTTGCATTTCTTCAAATATTTCAACAAAAATCTATGTGCATGTATGTTTTTGTATTTGTTTTCAACGTGCCCTTCTCCATCTGTCCTGATGTTCAATTAAAATGCAGATAATGTGTCCCAGCTTGTAAGATGGATCACTGCTGAAGTGGTGTCATGTTTGGGCTAGCTTATCTCTTGATAAATACTTCTGCTGTCCACTGAGAGATTAAACTTCATGACTACTGAGGTCTGTTTGGGGGTCTTACAGGCAGATAAGACTGTTACTTGCTTTTATTAAAAGATACCAATTTACATTTGCTAAAGGACCTTTGGATGGCATTTGCTATTGAGAAGGTGGCAGTGGCATAATCAAACAATAATACTTGTATGTGAAACTGGCTTTTCCATTTCATAAGTATTATAATTTATTGACAGGAGGGCTTTATCGAACCCTCTTGTGTCTAGAGTGTGGAGATGAGAAGCTGAGCTGCTGTTACAAGACCTCATTTAGCTGTCTAGCAGAAAAGATTTCTTTCCCTGAGTCTAATCCAGCAGGAGCCATGGAAGAACATTATCAGCTAGGTACAGAAATCTCAGGCAGCTCGGGTGTGTGGGACACATGTGGATGCCATGGTCTGGAGTCTGTCTCGCCGTGACAGCCAGGCAGTCAGGGTTCCCACCACGGGGAACACGCTTCTCCTTCTGGGGGTTGCGTACAGACAGTGCTGGACTTGTAGAGGTGCTTTAACAGAAGAGATGTTGAGTCGTGCGGTAGGAGTGGTGAGCGGCCAGCTTCTCTAACCGAACAACTATCTGAAAAATTTGCTGTCTCTTACGTGTATGTAGGGGGTGGAAAAGAGATTTGTCATAGACAGCTCTCTGAATAACAAATTGCTCAGTGCCACTGAAGAGATTCTGTGCAAGGTCTGGAACCTTGCTTGTGCTAGTACAAAGATTTATATAAATACAGCATTTGAGTATGTATTTCTGAATCTGTGCCTACTCCCCGTTCGTGAGCGTGAGGATACAACTTTTTAGACTGTACTGTTCTGTCGCAGTAGAAGGATACGGGAATTTGTAGGCAAAGACTGTTTTCATGTTCCAATACGCAATATCTCTAGTTTCATTTCCATTTTACATGCCATGGAAGTGATTGAAACAGCAGAGTATACATACGTATGTGTGAAACATCTCTGTGCCCCTGAGAAGTGAATTCTGGAAAAAGGCACTTAAAACTGCTCAGCTTATTAAGTAAGGCTGGAGTCTCATGCAGTTTTGCTTAAAACATAAGTAAGTAGAAGTCACGGTGCAAACCATTCGGTAATATGAACTATGGGCTGAAACTGTTGGTTAGCTGTCGGCTTCTGTCTTCATGATCTGCTGTTCTGCCACTGTAGGAAAACTACAAGGCAAGGCCAGAGAGAGGGAATGGGTGGAAGGGACCCAGTGAAATGCAAACCATGCCCACACCAGCAGGCTTGCTTAGGCTTACTTGTGCTGGTAGTATCTTGCTCTTGGTCCACGTTTGAGTGGCATTTTCAGATCAGTAGAGCTGTTTGTGCTGTGGCTAACCCCTTACCCCAGTCTGACCACAGGAATAAGGGAGAGGTAAATGGCGAATTCAGCACGATGTGTGCGTGTTGATTTAGCACCTACCGTTTCCCCCTCTTGCAGGCATTGTTCTTGGTTCCAGACATACACCGTTATCTTGACGAAGAGCCACTTACGTGTGATCATGGAGTCTGATGTAAAGCATGGCTCTGAAAAAGAGTTAACGAATACATGGAGCAGGGCTCGTCTTGATGGCACCAGTGTGTACCAACCTGTATCCACAAACATAACTCGGCATGACGAGCGTCGGTGGTGGGCTTAGGGGACTGCGGGTTTGCTCTCTAGATCATCATAACTTGTTGCCAGTTCTCATGTGATGATTTTATGCAGCTGTAGGAACATGAATTAAAACTCCTAACACCATTCTGAGCCTTCATTTCCATTTTCTAGATTTTTTTTTTTAAAGTCACAGGGAAGTTTTAATTTGCCTTAAGTTACAGTTTGTTAGAGATGGGCCTGAAGAACACAGGATATGTTTTTCCAGAAGTAACAAGTAGTTTGTTCAGCTATGGCTATCTTAAAAAGCCCTATTTTTCTAGAAGGCAGGAACTGCTCAGCCCTTTGGTCTGAACATCAGGCCTCTTCCATATACACTGGGTTATGCATCTGGAATCATTAGTCATTCTGAAAGTCTTGGTTGAGTTGTGAATCCCAGTCCTTCCCTCGCTGTCATCTCGGCTGTTTCAAGGGCTCGTTAAATAGGTCGGCTAGTTTTAAGATTGGAGGAGAGTCCAAAGTATACCTATTGCTTTTATTTTCAATATAGAAATCCAGAATCTTCATAACACACATCTTGTGTTATTTTTGGCCATATAATACTTTGCCATATCTGATTCATTTAATACTTATGGGAGGTATTTTCTCTTAGAGGAAGATTAGGAAGAATGCCCGTGCCCTTGTCCTTGCAAAAGCCAGACCGTCATTGTTATTGGGATTATTATTATTTTTTCTCGCAGTATGCTCGGGGGTTTCTTGCAGGCGGCTCTGCTCGATTGTTTAGGTGGTAGAAGTGCATGGACTGTGCTCAGTGATCTTTACTGTCCTTTTTGTTTTGCAGATCGAGGGATTTTAATGGCTTTCAGGTAGAAGCCAAGTGGAGACAATCAAAATGAACTCTATGGACAGGCACATACAGCAGACCAATGACCGGCTGCAGTGCATAAAACAGGTAAGCTGAAGGTGGAGACCATTGCTGCTAGACAAGCATTGTGTATCGTGTGGCAGGGTGCGTTGTGCAGTATGGTTACCTGTTGGTTAATGAATATCCTTGCCTTTTAGAGGGGAGGGGAGTGGTAGGAATTGAGACATTGTAATCTCATTGAAGAGAAGAACATCTGCTGCAGGAGCGGGTGTATAAACCTCAAAAGCCAAACTTTCCCTTTCACCATTCTGAGAAATCTTCAGCCTGTAGACTCACCAAACCTGTCTCAGCTGAAAGCAGAGCGGTGCTAGTCCTGCCAGCTCTGCCCTGAAGGTGTCACTGCGGGCAGCCCATCGTACTTCTGCTCTGAGCACAGTAATTCAAAATTTTGACGGGCCAGTTTTGATTCTAATCCAGTATCTGACCTGAGACCTGCACTACCTGGAGGCTCGAACTTGGGCGGTTGGCATACCCCCAAGTGCTCGGGTTAATCGGTTTGCACAGAGATGTGAAAACTTCCATTTGCAAGGTAAAATTTTCAGAAGCACCTATTTGTGAAGATGAAGGGCCCTTATAATTCGCTGAAAGGCAGTGGGATCTAAGTATCATTTACAGATTTCCCCACTGTAACTGTGCTTGCAAATGCTTTTATAACCAAGTGAAACTACAAAGGCAAGGATGGAATGAGCAGATGCTGTCTTTCCCTGCTTTACCCTTCTCAGTGAGCTTTGCTCTCTGGCATTGCAGGCAGCATGTATCCTCCCCTCACGTACGTTCTCCGCATGCAAGAATCCTTACAGAAAATTTATAGCAATTGTCCTTTGTGTAGAAGAGGTGAGCAAGAGAATGGTTTCTCATGTGGATGTTTCCTGTTTCTATCTCTAAACCAATGCATGCATGCAGCCCACAGCTGCATAAATTGCAAGCAGCACACAGGTATTTTGAAGATTGGTTATCCCAGCTGGATCCATGAATGAGCTCCAAAGTTTAGCTCTTCAGAACTGGTTGAAATTTTCTGAATTACACTGGAAAAACAGAAAGACAATATTCTGTGAAATAATGTTCCCAAACCATTTTTTTTGTTGTCTGAATGGTTTTCTCTGTCAGTTCAGGCCACAGCATGTTTAGAGGCCAGAGTCCTGCTGTTTCACTTTTATATTCGTAGTAATTAAGTTTAAAAACTCCCTGCCTGCTTTTGCTGTGGGACATGTGCATATTGCTTCTTGAGGGAGTGCAGCATTTCCCTGTTCATAGATTTCTTTGTGTTGTAGACACAAGCACCCTAAATCAAAGGAACTGATGAAAAATAAGCATGGGGGTGGTACTGGTTCGGTCTAGATTTTTTATTTTATTTTCTTTTATTTACAACTTCTTCAGGAGGGGCAGCAGAGGGGAAGGTGCTGATCTCCTCTGTCTGATGGCTGGCGATAGGACACCAGAAAATAGAACAAAGCTGTCAGGGGAAGTTTAGGTTGGACATTAGGAAAAGGCTCTTCACTGAGAGGGGTGCTCGGGCACTGGAACAGGCTCCCCAGGGAAGCGGTCACGGCACCAAGCCTGTCAGAGTTCAGGGAGCGTCTGGATGACGCTTTTAGTCATATGGTTTAGTTTTAGGTAGTCCTGCGAGGAGCAGGGAGTTGAACCCGATGATCCTTATGGGTCCCTTACAACTTGAGATATTCTACAATTCTATGATTATCTGTTTCCATTCTGTTAGTTTCAGCAGTCTCCATCATTATGTCTTGTCATGTTTGCCTATGTATTAGTAGAGGTTTATATTTTCTAGAATGTGTTGTAATGCAAAGAACAGAAAATGTGTGTTTATTTGCAAGTCTGGCCATGCAGATGCTTTGGGGGATATAAAAAAAGAATAGAGTTTATACCTAAGCCAGCTGATTTTTCTCTCCATGTTTCCTTTATAAGAGAGGATTTCAGAATAAATCAAACAAAGCTAGTTCGTAGGTCAAGGAGCAGAAACAGGAATCTGTCCCTGCAGAATTGCTGGTCATAATCCAGCCTCGGTCTGTGGTGGCTCTCTCTCTTTCATCACTCTGTGGTGAAAGTTAATGCACCTCATGGCCCTTTAGAGGCCTGAGGGAAATATGAATATTGGGATTTCATCCCAGTTTCTTATGAACAACTGTCTGATTCAGAAAAACCACGCTCTTGGCTGGCACAAATTGGTGTCCCTTTTGGCCATCCTAGCCCGTAGGATGAAGTATGAAGTGACTTGTAGAACAATTTAACCTTCTAGCTGTAAGAACCAACCTTTAGATCAAGTGGAGACGCATGGAGGATGCTGCTCAGTTCCTTTTTCTAGAGCTGTTGGTTTCTGTGCATAGAGAATTTTCTATTATTTTAATTCGCTAAAAGAATATCAAATTACTTTTTTTTTTTTAAAGCGTTAAAGAGATATTTTTGCTATGCGATGGGTACTCAGTTAAACCACTAACTTCATTTATCCATAGCGCTGGTTTACACAGGCAGCTGGGATATTTCTTCAGCGATGAAGGCTGAGGGGAAGGGAGGAAGGTCAGACTTCCCAGCATTCGTGGAGCATTCTCGGTTTTGTTTGATCCTGTCCGGAAGAAAGCTCGGGGTTTTCTGGTGCGCAGGGACATGCTTGCATAGCTGCTCTGTTTTGTCAGACAGCAAAGGATGCCTGACGAGGGAGGTATCTTACCTGGGTGTGCTTGTGGATTCATGGTGCCTGTGTTCTATACAGGCCTGAATAAGAGAACAGGGATGCTTTTGTTTCCCACTCATGAAAAAGTGTAGTTAACCAAGATAGTGGCTGAACACCAAAAATATATAGCAGAAAGCTTTTTAGTGAAAGTGGCAATACTTGCAGTTTTGTTGGAGAAGAATGGCTGATTTTTTGTTTTGTTCTGTTTTTGTTGAAGGACTTAGCATAGAGACTGCTCTTTGCTTTTTCATAGTTCCAAAATCTTGTGCCGTTACCTTTGCCATAGTGGAGAAAGAGACAGAAATCAACTCTGACTAGTTTTTTGGAGGAGGCTCACGTCTCTGTCACGGGGTCGTAAATTTCCAGCGTGGAGACATTTACCTTGTTCTTTCAGACAGGTCATTAGCTGGCAAAATTAACGTGGTACCACAAAGAGTAATTTCCAGTTCACCCATAGAAAACCGGACCACATGTTGTTTTTGGGAGAAAAGCAGTACCTTGCATGGCCATATCAATGTATCTTCACGGATTTGGGGGATTAACTGCAGGGTCAGACAAAAATCTGCCTGCCTTTTCTTCCCCAGTCTCCAGCCTTTTATCCTTTCTTCCCAGCCTGTGAGCAAACAGAACTGCCATTCTCCTGAAGAGACGTATGCTTTTGGGGTGGTTAACACAGCAGTGGCATGGAAGGTGCACTGCACCAGGGGGAGGAGAACCATTGTTCCTTGGCGCCTTAGCATCTGCATGTTTTATAACCTTCCTGGCAGCTAGTGGCTCATGCAGCCAGACGGAGAGCTGTCTGCTGCCCTCCTTGCCCCTCACCCCAGCCCCTGAGAAACGCTATAAATGGTAATCCGTGTGCCTCTTTAACTAGATCGGGTTTCAACACAGGGTCACGACAGGCTTCTTTCTTCCCAGCTCAGTGGCTTGCGAGACACCCACGATATCCTTGCTGACTTCTGTTCCAGGATCAAGGTTGTGTTTTACCTTCATCTTTTTTAGCGCTTCAAAGCTACAAACCCAAAACTTGTATATGATCAGCTAGTTAGAAAATGAAGTGTGTGTGTGTGCTAAGAAGTGTTTCGGAATAGATGAAAGGGCAAACTGAAGAGGTGGCTGTGTATTTACGCTTAAAAAACCCCCAGACTTCTGTGGAAGACTGGAACAGCTTGTGTGGTCCCTTTGTAGCCAATTCCCTCAGTATTTGTCAGGGTATGTGCTTTAAAATCAAACACAGGTTTTTTTGATGTACGGTGGAAAAAGCCAAAGTAACAGCCTTCCCTTAACACACGCAATTAGTTTGTCATGACACAGGAGACTCTTCAGTGTACACTGAAGGAGGCTGGATCGTCAGGGTGCAGACTTTTTTTCTTTAATTCTTTGTTCATACAAACAAAAATACAAAATTATTTTGTGCTTAGCGAAGGTCTGATAGCCCCTGAGAACTGCCCTATTTGAGGCTGCAGTAATAATCTGTTTATCTGCCTAGTACTCGTGGCTCAGGTGGCTCTGATGCACCGTCCACCGTGGAACTCCCGGGCGGCGGGAGCTGGCTCGGGCAGGCACAGAGCTGAATTTGAGGGCTTCCCTGGTGCCCCGGGTCCCAGGCACAGCCTTCTGAAGGAGCCAGCTTGGCTCCCACTGCATAGGAAGTCCCGACACAGAAGCGACTGGTTTTCTTAAACCGTTCCTCATAATAGACCGGAGGTATGGCTTTAATCAAACACCGTCCATTATTTTCCTTATGTGATACGAGCAAATACCAGGCAAAACCAGTGGGTTGCATGACATCTCCTCTCTACTCTCACCCTGATGGGTCCACTTTCAAAACTTAGAGCTATTTTAAATCTAGGGACTTCTACCTTTTCTTGTCTCTGTTTGCTGTCAGTCAGTTTCTATACAGCTCTTCGGAAATTCCTGAAAAGAGGAAGATGGAGAAAATCTTTCTATATTTAAGTTACAAGAAAGGCATGCCTTTCAGAATAGGTGCGTGATACCTTCCTGCTGTGCTGAGGACGGTTGTCAGGGTACATGCTAGAGCTGCGCTGAAATTTTAGTAACAGGTTAAAGGGAAGTATGAAAAGGCTCTCTGGCGTCAAAAGTATTTGGTCGTGGTGGGAACAGAGAAGGTTGTTTCTGCCGCTTGTGTCGCGTTACGTCAGGACACATGGAGCAGTGTCATCGGATGATGCTGGATCACTCTGGGAACCCCACTTAATCGGAGGCACATATCACGTAGCTGATTTCTAGAAACAGATTAGCATTTCTCCCTTCTTTCCTTCAAGAAAGCTTGCTGAATTGCTGCGGTTGCGATGCTTTATAATGCCTACGCAGCCATTCA